CGGAGCCCGCAAACCGACTCACATTTTCCCATGTGTTTCAATTTGTCTCTGAATAAGGCATGGTCAGACACGGCACCGCCGGCCTCGCTGGTTACAGAGGGGGCTACGTCACCTGGAAGGCAAACATCTGGTCACCAGGAGCGCGTGCACGGCGAGGGGAAGCTGGAGACAAATCGTTTCCATGACCCAATTCCAGCGCTAGCGAAGCCACAGGCCGGCAGGACAAGGGCACTGGCACGCCAGGGCTGGCTCTGGATGAGGAGTCTCTGCAGATAAAACCCCCAAGACCGTGGGTGCAGAGACCTCGGCCCGCAGCACAGCCTCAGCCCCGCGGGGCTGCTCAGCTCGGGCTGCCTGCGAGCTGACGAGGGGCGAGCCCCACCACCAGCACCTCTACGCTGCCCCAGGGACAGCAGCCCCAAATCACCCCAGGCACTAATTGCACACTGGGTATCAGATCGTGCCCATGCTGATGGCAGGGATGGCAGGGCCACCAGGTCAGGAGCAGAAGTTCAGGCATCCCAGCAACTCAGTCAGGCCGACCAGAGACCCCAGCAGCCACGTCCTCGTGCCCGCCTGGGCCCATGCCCCTTCCCCAGGTCTGGGTGCCCTCGAAGCGCCGTGCACCCACCCAGAGCTCTGCCATGCTGCCCAGCCACGGCATCTGGCCTGCCCCAGCACGGGGACATCGACAGACACCAGTGCTAATTCTGACCCGGGCAGCTGCTCCCCTCCCCGAGGTTAATCAGGATTACGCAGGAACATGCCTCCCCGGCACAGTCCTCTGCTCCGGCCGAGACAAGGGAGGGCTTTGTCTCTGCTGGGAATGGGATCCCAGCTCCCACCCGCAGGGACGGACGGAGGCAGGACAGGAGCAGCTCCACGCGGGGAGGGCAGGGAGGGCACCGGCACCCATCCCCATCACACACCAGCCCCTCTCCGGTGTGCTTGGGGGCAGCTTCGGAGGCAGTGGGCTGGGAACGCCGGAGCTGCCGGGCATCCCGCTGCTGAGAGGTGATGCTCACGTACATCTTCAAGTTACCTGATATTACGGAGGAGAAACCAAAGTCGTTGCTGACAGCAACACTGGCTGACTTGGATTTTTTTGACTCGTATTTCAGTCGATCTGAAAAACAAAAGCCCGATGCCGCACTCGATCAGACCCCGCGCACGCAGCTCCACTCCCCTCTCCCCTCGAGGGCCGCACGGCTGCGGGGGCACAGGGTGACGGCAAGGGAGGGAGCTCGGGCTTCCCAGTGTCCCACAGCAGCTCAGCCGCCGCAGAACGGCCGGACCCAGCTCAGCCAGGGAGCCCCTGCCCAGCCGGGCTGCAGCCCCGAGGTAACACAGAAGCACCTCGGGACGAGACGTGCTGAGCTCCAGGCAGAAACGATCGACCACACAGCTATAAAAGCTCTCCAGAGACGTGCTCCTCCCCGAGGACACGCTGCTGGCCTCTGCCGTGCTCCAGGGACAAGCAGCATCTCCCCTGCCACGCTGTCCTCTGCGCCTGGGTGGGCTCGGCCCGCTCGGCGAGGCTGAGCACAGGAGGAAGGCAGCCTTCCGCCCAGCGCCGTCACCGCCCCGGCGCTGAAAGCCCTTCGCTTTGGCACGGTGACCGCAAGCGCGTCGGTGGGAGCCCGCAGCAGCAGGCGG